ATTTATACCAATAAACTCACTTAAACTGAAATCAATAAAAAAGAATCAATGACTTTTCTGGATTATTTCTTTTAGCAATATCATTATGTAAAACGCCGTTGTATAATGTTCTCTTTCTTCCGCTGTGAGTCAATAAAATGGTTGATTTATTCTTCACATTTAAGAAAGTATGTATCAGTATAATTTATAATGTGCTATAATGATGACCATTTTTACATGCTATTAAATTAACATCCACAATAAGATTTCTTTCTTGAATGTAAAATTCAGATCCGTTATTTGATTTTCGTTAGCATATTGATAAAATTTCCCAGATATTATAAGCACATAAATTTAGTTGTCATTTCTATAGGCGACCTTGCATAAAACATAATCAGGAGAGTCCAACAGCCCAGAAAATTCCTTAGCAAATATCATTTCTTGTGTTTTTAGTAATGTTTCAACTGGACATAGAATATTAAAATAAAAACAAATATCTGCAAATTTTTCATTTCTTAAAGTATGATCATTAGTTGGAAACACAGAAAATCGACTCCGGGAAAAGGATATTCAGCACATCTTACATCTTGTAAAAATTCGTTTCATTCCTTTACATCATCTGGAAAGCATGAGTAAACAGAAACTATTAAACTCAGATTAGGTGAAGCTGCAGAGACCATTAGCAACCTGTAACAACATAATTTAGTTATTATATGGAATCTTGAGCTTTCATGCTGATGAAATGCGATACCTAGTTTCATCTTTCTGCAATTGAAATCTTAAATGACGAAACAGACAAAAGGTGATGATATTGATGAAACTAACAAAATAGCAAAGGGCAACAAAGCTAATAAAAGACGAAGATACAGAATAAATGTTGTTGAAACTCATTGAAAATAATGTGAATAAAAAAATAAACTAACAAAAACAGATTGAATTGTTTAAAGAGAAGCCAGAAATGAGTATTCAATATTGTAGTATTGTACTATACAAGTATACTACATATCAGTTCTAGTGAGAATCGCTTAGTGCTTACTTAACAAGATTATTTCAACTGGTTTCTAACAACACTAGCGTTGCCCAGAAAAAATAAACAAAATTATTTTGCTGACTTACATGTAATTTCAGATACTGATCTCTAAATAAATTATGAATGTTTATTCAATGAAAATGCTCTTTTTTTTTCTTTTTTTTTTTTAGCAGGTGCGCTAGAGTTTTGTCTTTAGTATAGAGCTTTGTCTTTTGGAAATTAGATTTCATCTTTCATTATCATGTGAAAAAGGTTTTGTCTAAAACAATAACTGTAATAAAACTACTAGCCTCTCAATGTTTTGGGGGTCATAACTTGAATCAAAGCATTGAAAAATGATATGATATATGCGAAAATAATGGTCTAACGTTGGTATTCTTTTATCTTTAAAAATACTGTATACTAACTTGTCAACTTTATAAATTAACTTTTATAAATTATTATTTTTATAATTTCTAAATTCAGAGTATATACAGATTTCTCAATCTCATTGTGGCATTTGCAGTTTGATATTTGTTCTAGCCATTGCAAACCTGATAATGTATGTGATCCTAAAGTTATTGCTAGAAATATCAATATATGTAAACATCTGCAATGTAGTGTGTGATAAATGTAGAAAGACTTGTTATTGTAAATAATATGATTAGGAATTATGCTTAATATATTTGGCAAATGGAGGTTTATTTTAATAGCATGCACATTACAAAATAAAACGGTGAGTGATCGATTTTAAACCTTTTTATTTTGGTCATACATTTTATCTATTGTTTTTTATTTATTTATTGTTACGATTATTCAAAATATTAAGAAACATTAAGGTTATAAATGTGAAATAACTGAAAAACACAGAACTTGTAGCAAATAGATAATAAGTTTATCAATAAGAGCCATGTTTCTTTTACAGTATTATCACAACTAAATATGTCAGTATAGATTACTTTTAATAATCTATGTTAAAATAAATATTTCTTACTTATCATGTAAAATATAAAATTTTAGTAGCTGTTATTTATCGCTGTTTTCAAAATGGTCGAGAATATCAATATTATAAACTTATAGGTTATTCAGGTATTTGGGTATTCTCAACCATTTCGAAAGCAGTGATAGCATCGTTGAGTTATTTTAAAGCTTTTATATTAAAAAAAGTCTTAATTTCAATTAATCTGCAAAAGTCATGTAAATTTATTTTACAGTACATATTATTTTTTGACAAAAGAAGCCATTTAAAAATGCGATCGAAAAGCATCGGTACTACTGGTCATTTAGTTGGATGAATGCCGGTGTCGACTCCGAAATCGGCGAGTCTGTCGATTGAGTGTGGTTAGCTTCGTGTAACCAAAGTCTTGGTTAAGTAGTGTCGAAAGGAGGCGTGTTAGATTTGTTAATGAATAACTGTGGTTAGAGATGGGCAAATCGCAGTTTTTTCAAAAATCCCGCGCGTCACGCGCGGATCACGCGCGTGATTCGAATACGCGCGGGATAGGATCACAAATCTACGGGTTTCTTAATTTTTTGTGTCGAATAAATAACCATGCAAAAATTATTAT